TAAATTATTGTAATATTTCTTATAGTATTTATTGTTTTAAACTTTATATAAACTGTTATACTATTATATTATTTAGGTAATAATGAGAAAAAAAATCTATCTCTGCCTAGTACAGACACATTTTTTTCCCAAATGTTTTTAGGCCCTGACTCTGGAGTTCATGGGTCTATGTGCTGTGGATTTGGGGGGCTATCCATTGTTCTAACAAATCTCAGTTGTTATAAATAATACATTAAGGGCCAGACACATAGCTCAGCTGATTAAAGTGCCTGCTTAGGCAGATGCAGGGGGCAGGGGTTCAATCATGGGACAGAGATAAAGCACACATCTAATCCTTTAAATGACCTTCTACCTTTCAACTAGGTAGCATTATATGCCCCTTCTAATATGCCTTCCAAACTCTTCCCAAGGCCATCAGGAGTCACCCACCAGAGGAGGACTGGAATGAGCAAGTGGATCTAGGGTGCACAGGCTTGAGGAAGCAACCTGGGTTCAAGAAGTGAGGGGACACTCAGCGGTTCTAGTAACGCAGAGTAGCTGAATGTCAATATTTTCCTTGTGCACCTATTGAGGCATAAAATTGTCATGAAGACCTGAGCTATCTGGCAGGAAGAGCATTTTAGACTCCACATGACTATGGGGAAAATCCCCTAAGGAGGAAGCTCTGCACATAGCAAGAAGGATGGATCAATACCTCTTGCTCCAAATTGGTCAAGCAATGGCCGTGACTCATCTACATGGCTGATGCTGACAAAGGATCTGCAAATTGCAGCACAGGGTTATAGCATAAATCCTGAGGGTACTTGACTGACCTTATCATGTACAAGAGTTACATTTCTTGTTGTACAGGTCTTGCTTTACCTTAGTCTTAACCATCCAGCAGAAAAGTATAAAAATGAGGTATATAAAGTAAAGCCATATTAATATGCTGAGCTGTGAAAAGCTCAAGTCAACAACTTCTGTGGATAACCCACTATTATTGTGGACTGCTGGACTGTGTTAAATTGTTTTGCTGAATTCACGCACCTATAGTATTTAGATGTCAAAGGAATACTCATTTCTGACAGGACTAAACAAAAAAAGGGGATACAAAGGAAGGACCATTTTGTATCTGTATATGTAGAATAGTTATATATCTTAATTCAATGAGAAGAAAGATATGTACTAGTAGTACTTGGACAGAATATCCTGTTTGCATCTTGTACTATGGATAACCGCTAAGAAGATAACAATGTACAATGTATTAATTATTGAAACTGTCCTATTGATCAGTTTTGAAACTGTCTCATTAATATTGGTCTCTCAATAAAATAAAATTTAAAAAAATACCTCTTGCTCCAGAGACTTTGCAAGGGTCCTAACATGAATGGACAGCTACTCTGGACGGATTTTTCTTATCTATTGGCAGAGTCAAATGTCTAGAGTTCTAAAAAGAATCAGAACAGAAGATATCCCACAAGTTTGATCCACAGTTTAACAATACCTTGGAACAGGAAATTTTACAGCCTGTGGTGCCTAACAATATGCAGAGAGATACCATTCACAGGGTAATGGGTTGATAAAGAATTAGAATGAGAAAGTGAAGCAATTGTCATCCACAGTAAGAGAAGAGATGCAAGAAAAAGTGCTTCACATGCCTGCAGATGAGTATGCTCACCTTCAACCCATATAGGCCAACAAAGGAGTGCATAGCATGCTAGATGATTCCTTTACCCTCTGCAAGATGAGGGTAGCTGAGGTTGGGGAGGATTCTACCATGACGATGCTATGCTTACCACTGTGACAATGGGGACTCATGATGCTAACATTACATTTTTTTATCTTTCCTGCCATATATTTTTAACTTTCTTTTTTCCTAGTTGCTAGTACAGGGAGAAAAAATGATTCCTAAGCAAAAAAAAAATATAACTGTAGCTTTAAGACTTTGCCTCAATACTCCTAAGAGTTGATGAAGTTGATTGTGTCTAGTAAGATTGGAGTTGGAGGTGAAGAGGAGTCAGTTCCCTCGTGCTCACTATAACCTACTATCTTTCTTTCTCTACTCAAATGAATGAGACCAGAAAGGGAAAAGTTACCTGCTAGATTAGCCTCATCACTAACAATCTGCATGGCACAGTTGCTTAACCCAACAGCCTTTCTAATGGTAAAAGAGTTTGCCTAAAATTAAATGACAAATGAAAAGATGCTTACCCAATAACTGAAAGTAAAAGAATTAGTTAGCAGTTATTCAGTGAAGGAAAATTTAGCATCACGTTAATACCTTAAGAGATTGTGATAGCAAAGAGATGATATCACTTAGCTCCATTTGACCAGACATCTGAAAGGCAAAATCCACTCCTGCTTTGAGACTGTGTCAAAGAATGAAAGGTTGAATAGAAAGAAACCTGCAAATCAGAAAGCCATTGCTCTAGGAGACAGTTCAGTCACATGGTCTGGTGATGGATTATACTGTCAATGACTGAGTTGGATTCTAAAAAATTGTCTAGTCTTTTCTTATCCTTAGGTTTTAGATATCATCTGCTATACTAGGACAGAGTGTAAGAGTAGCACTGTTGGTAACTTGATAATGTCAATGTTGATGGTCAAATGTATAGGGGAATCAAGTAAAAACCTCCTTGAAATGTAATACTAAAAAAGAATAACAGGGTTGAATAAAAAATGTATTTAACTATCACATAATTTCTGTGCTAAATAATTACATCCCAGGTTATCATAGGTACAAAATAATCCCAAATCAAAGGAAAAATATGAAAACATATGGCATGGCATTATAGGATGGTCTCGTTGTTTTTAACTCTGTTGCTACTTTACTGGCTCCTTAAAATGCTAGGCACAATTATACTGCTACCACTGATTTCTCTGTCATATAAATAGTTTAATAAATGTAAATGCCAGACTAGAATGAATAGTTTTTTTCTGTTAAAATGTCTTAGCCAAAGGACAGAGCATGCCCTATGTAGTAAAGCATTCAACTTGGCCCAAAGAGATGTCTGAACTAGGTTTTGCTCCTTAAAAGGCAATTTCTAACCTCATGGAATTTCTGAAATGATAAGGCTTCTATTTATTATATGCCCCTTGTCCCACACTTGATAGTTTATACTAATGAGGTGACTCACAGTAGCCTCACATGCCACATGAGACCAGCTTGTCCTTTAGGCAGGGGACTGCCAGAGCCTGAGATCAGCCATATAGGAAATGAATCAATCGGTCATGCCTAGATGCCAGAACACCAATAAACGCTCTGAACCTCAGTGCTCATATAAGCTTCTGCCTGGCAACACATCAATGCCAGAGATTTATATGTCCTGAGGGTCACAGTATGTAGAGGTTTTGACCCATAATTAGTTGGTTCCAAGGTGGGGTAGCATGCAGCGGGCACCACAGAGGAGAACTCATCATGGTGGGAAGAAAGTAGCAAAGCCAGCAAGATATAAGTCCAACCAACTGTAGCATCTTCTCTCTTCCCCTTTTATATTCTATCTAGGGTACCAGGTTTCTGGTCGGTGTCAAACCAGTGAACTGATAAAGTAATCACACACCCTTGAGCTCAGAATCACAAACCCTAGATCCAGCCACCTCTGAAAAACCCCTACCTATGACTGCATCCAGCTTAGGTTGAGGGGACATCTAAAAAAATCCATAACATTCTGCCCATTGCATCCCCAAAACTCATGCACATTCCTTCATGCAAAAGGCACTTAGTTCATCTCCAAGTATTGCCAAAGTCCTAACATATTTGGCATTGCTGAAAAGTCAAGTCCAAAGTCTCCTCAGAGGTGTAAGGCAAACTCTAAGATGCAAGCCCCTATAGAAATGAAAAGGAAGTTAAACACTTCTAATCAATGGCACAATACAGTTGCTTGTGTTCCATCCCAAAGGGGGATATGAAAAATGGGGCAGAAGCAGGTCCAATATCCAGAAGGGCACACATTAAGTCCTGCAGTTCCATGTCCCCTGCTCCTGGCAATCTGTGGCAAGTTATGAATGCCAAGGGCTGGGGTTCTTTGCCCTTTTGGCACTGCCAGTGGTGGTATGAACCATGGATTTTCTCTTGGGTCAGCTCTGCTTCCTCCTTGCAGCTTCGCTGTGACGGTCCACATGCCTGGCTTCTCCATATGTTTTTGAATGTACATTTTCACACTGATAGCTTCACACACTGCCCTCTCAGGGGCATGCTTCTTGGCCATCCCCTTGTTCTGAAATCTGGAAGGAAGACTCTCCAATCCCACAGCCCTTGCATTCTGCATGCACCTAAAACTAGCATCATGTGGATGATGCCACGATCAGCTCCCAGCTGGACCAGTAGCCAAGATTCCTTCTCTTTTGACTGTAGGAGTTGAATTCCAAGAAACAGCTTTCATATTCTGGTACCATTCTGGGGCATGGTGTTCTGGGGCTCTCTTCTCAAACTAAAGTCTTCCACTTTTACAATTTTGAAGCTGAAAAGGCCAGAATCCTGCTGTTTCATGTAATGTGCTCAGGTCATCCTTTCCATTCTGCTGTTGCTGGACACCAGTGAAGATCTCTGATCTATCTTTGCAGTTCATGTCTTTCTTAGAGGTTCCCTTCTTTCCAAACTCTCATAATGTTTTAAATCATTGGTCTCTTTGCTTTTGGTTCTCAACATAAATCTGTGGTTTTTTTGGTTTTTTTTTGTTTGTTTTTTCTTGTGAGACAGAGTCTTGCTATTAGTTCAGTCTGGCCTAGATCTCATTTTGTAGCCAAAGCTGGCATTGAACTTGCAGTGACCCTCCTGTCTCAGCCTCCCAAGTAATTGAATTATAGGCGTGTACGATCATACTCAGCTTCAATATAAATCTGTCTGAAATCCCACAACAAATACCATGCCACTGCTTCAATATTAGATTTCCTTGAAATTTTTTCTGCAAGATTAATTAGTTCACAACCCTTAATCTCAGCCTCAGTCACTCTTTCTACATCAATAAACTGCAGACAAACTTTCAGACAAGTCATGGCATATATTACCTGGAGTCTTACAGTCAACAACAGTACTTCTTTCTAGCAGAAACATCCTGAGACTGGCCTTTGCCAATATCATTTATGTCAGCATTCTGATATTTTTGACTCTGACCAGAATCTGTGTAAAGTTTTTCAGAACTGCCACTGTAGTTGGCAACTTTGAACCTTTCCAAACTCTTCCCACAATCCAGGTCCAAAGGCTCTTGAATCACATGGTCAGGTATAGTCAAAGTGTAAGAGTCAATACATGTGTCAACCTGAGAAGTTTAGAAGATCAACTAAGTGACTTAGCAGGGGCCAGAGTCCTCATTTTGTAAATATCTTGAGCCTATGCAAGAGGAGGGCACAGAGGTGATGTGAGTACTACACCTGCCCTGGAAGGGGGGTTATCCTGCTTACAATATAAGAGAGGGAAAGAGGGAAAGAGGCCAAACAGGGTCCTGTCTTCAGTAAAGCCATTCAGGCATATGTAGAACTATGCTAAACCAATGAGAGGACCCATCCACACACCCTTAATCCAGCATTGCACATTCATGATCCAGCCCCCACTGACAAGCCACAGCTATCAGTCCATGAAGTTTAGGGGAATATCTAGATATAAGCTATAACACACAGGCTACATGAACCTAATTGCTTGTTTAACTGAGGTTAAGTGATCAATGACTTATACAAGAATAGGTGTTTTAATATTTGCAGAACCCAAGGGGCCAGGGAGATGACTCAGTAGAATAAGTGCTTCCCTGGCAAGCTCAAGAATCTGAGTTCAATGCCCGGTTCCACCAGGAAAAAAAAATTGCAGAACCCAAATAATTATCAGCTTGTTCTATGTTTGAATTAAATTTTTCATGTTTACAGCCAAAAGGGCTGTAGCTAATACAGTTATTTAAAGAATTAATGCTCAGTGAATGTCTGTTATTTAGAATAATGCAGATGTCATTCTTTGGCTTGATAATCACATCAAGCAAAAGTACAAACATTTAGGATGCAAGACATGATTTAATTTCAGTGAGGATAACTTTTCTTCCTTTAGTTTTATTCTGAATTAATGTTTTAAAAGTAAACACTATGACTACAATTTTATTTGGTACTTAAGAAAAGAGAACTATAAAAGAAAGAAAATTAAAATAGGTTCAAAGTCACATAGTTATCCTTTCTGGATACATTATTATAGAATCAAAATAAATTTGGTGTGGTCAAGTTAATAGTTGCAATTGCTACAATTCATATTCTCAAGGAAAATACACTGATCAATGACTTATACAAGAATAGGTGTTTTAATATTTGCAGAACCCAAGGGGCCAGGGAGATGGCTCAGTAGAATAAGTGCTCCCCTGGCAAGCTCAAGGATCTGAGTTCAATGCCCGGTTCCACCAAAAAAAAAAAAAAAAACAAAAAACTGCAGAACCCAAATAATTATCAGCTTTCTCTGAGATTTTATAAAAAATATGTTACAAGCTTTTTCTTATATTAGTTTCCTTAAAGGGATTCCCAAGACATAAAGATATATACTGTAGCCTGGAGGGATTTTTTGTGGCTTAAAACACTATGTTTAAATTGATACAGACTATCAATATTTCTGTATGAATACTAAAATACAATTTTAATGTTTCTTTGACTGATGTAATCTGTCTTTATTTAAGATGAGCGTATCTTTTGGGTGTACAGTGACTGTTAAAATATCTCCAATGCTACTATTTCTTTAGCATTACTGGACTTGGGGGTCTTCAATATTTATCTGTAAAACTGTCAAACATCAATATGTAAAAATAGTAGTGGCCAGTGTTCTCTTTGAAATTGCAATATTATAACTGAAAGTAGATAACATTTCACTTTAAACCATTATGACACTACTTTTACAATTTGTGAAATAAATGTTTTAATGAGTTTTTTTTTTTAATAGACTTGCTATGTAGTTCATTCTGATCAAGACCTTCCTGTCTTAGACTCCCAAGTGCTGGGATTATAGTCATTCATCACTACCTCAGCTTCACATTTAATTTAAACACTAAGAATCAAACTTCTGATGTCACTGAGGCTCTCTATGCTTCAGAATTAAATTAGTTTATAGATTAATTTTGCCTCTAATTCAAAAGAGGGGGATCATCCTAGTCTGAGTACTGAGCTTACTTCCATTTCCTTTTTTGTGAAGTTGACATGACGGCCAGCAGAAAGTCATTTTTCCATGGAATGGTCAGGTAGGATTTGTTGACTTCTGATTGATAATGAATGTTTTTTTCATATTTTAACCTCTTTCATACTGCTCAATAGTAAGTATAGACTTCACAGAGGTTTGAGTATAGTTATAGATGATAAACAGGGATAGATTTCCAACATTCAATCTCTCTTCTTATTATCAATACCAGGTATTGGGAAATTGGAAGATATGATTTACATACAAATCAATCTAACTATAGATAACACTAGTTATATCTATCACCTACTTACAGGAAGCCCTTAAGGAAGGGCAGCCACAGGGACTATAATTTCCTACATTATCCCCTTAGTGCCTCGGCAAAGGGAAATAATAGGAGACCAGAGAAATGGTTAGGGATCTGTGGTTGCTATCATGATCCCTTTGAGAGGGAAGAGGCTGTTAGAGCCACTTACTCCACTGTAGTTTGACCCAGCTTTCTTTCTTCTCTTTCAGATCACTCACCTCTGTTGTACAATTCATATTTCTTCCATGGCACAGTGGTCAACACCTTTGCATTTCCACCTAATAGCAGGCCCACCCAAATAAATGCTACTTTAATTCAAGACCGTGACTTTGACAATGGAAAACTTTATGTTCTCTGAAGATTGATGCGAAGGACCTGCTCCACTTCCAATCACTATTTTTTTGGGTTTGGACACTGTGTCTGTCTCTAAGCCTTGCTTCTCCATGAGATGAGCTGCTGTCCATGCTGACAACCCTCCCATCTAAGAGGGAAAGGACAGAGTGAGCTTTAGATGGTGGCAGGTTAGAAACAGAAAACAAAATAGCTAAGAAGCCAGAGAAATGTCACCTTTGGATTGTGAACAGAAGGCCAAAACAAACGTTTTCCAAATGAAAGTGAAATTTCTCTGAGCAACTAGGACTAAGATCTTCAATGTGGCTAGGCAGATCTTAGTGCATTTTCATTCCAAGCATAATTACAATAATCTTTTAATTATGTTTTTGGATTGATGAAATATCTAAGTGTAAAAGGCTAATCAAACCTCTATTGTGCCTCTTAAAATAATTTTAATTAAAATTGAATATATTACCTGCATAGAGAATGATATATACCTTTAAAATAAAATAAATTCTCTCAAAAATTTAATAGGTCAAAGAGTTGATTTTTGCAAGAGTGAACAAAATTGTTAAACCCTTAGCCAATGTTATAAAAAAAAAAGAAAAAATTGAAATTCAAACAATAAGGAATGAAAAGGGTGAAATCACTACAAACTCTTATAGAAACTGATGATCATCAACACCTACTTCCAAAATCTTTACTCTCACAGGATGGAAAACACAGAAGGAATGCGAAGATTTCTAGATATGTACAAGCTACCAAAGCTGAGTTAAGAATATATAAAAATTCTGAATAATCCAATATCAGTTGATGAAACTGAAAATATAATAACAAACCTACCAACAAAGAAAATCCTAGGACCTGATGGATTCACAGCTGAATTCTATATGAAATTTAGAGATGATGTAATGCCAACTCTTCTGAAACCCTTCAATGAAATTGAAAGTGAAGCAATCCTCCAAAACTCATATCTTGAAGGCAAGTATTACTCTGATTCCAAAACAAAGAAGGACCCAAGCAAAAAAGAAATACAGGCCAATCTCCCCGATGAATAGGTTCAAAAATCCTGAATAAAATACTAGCAAACAGGGACCAGGGAGATGGCTCAGTAGAATCTGCACTTGCCTGGCAAACACAAGGGCTTGAGTTAAATTCTTGGTTCAGAAAAAAAAAATACTAGCAAACAGAATGTAGCAAATCTTCAAGAAGCTTATACATTACCAGCAAGTAGGATTCATCCTAAGAATGCCTGGATAAGTCAATATGTGCAAATATATAAATATAACACACCACAGCAACAGAACCAAAGACAAAAATGACAGGATTATTTCAATAGATGCAGAAAAATCATTTGACAAAATCCAGAACTCATTCATGATAAAACCCTGCATAAATACAGAATGTATGGTCTTTACCTAAACCTGATAATATCCATCTATGACAAATCAACAGCCAACATCATACTAAATAGATAAAAATTGATAGCATTCACTTAAAATCAGGAACAAGACAAAGATATCTATCTCACCAATATAGTTCAATATATTCAATATAGTTCTGGAAACATTAGTCAGCACAATTAGACAAGATAAAGAAAAGGAACATTGTCAAAATAGCCATATTCTGAAAATTGCTATACAAATTCAATGCAACCCCAGTTAAAAATACCATTATTATACCTCACAGATCTAGCAAAAAAAAAAAAAAAATCCTAAAATTCATCTGGAACCAGAAGAGACCTAGAATATCAAAAGCAATCTTGGGTAACGAAGAACAAAGGAAAGGCAGGTGGCATCACAATCTCTGACTTATAGTGATATTACAAACTACTGTGATAAAATCAGCATTGTACTTGTTAAAACAAAAACAAACAAACAAACAAAAAACAGACTTGAGGATCAATGGAACAGATGAGATGATGCAGAGACCCAACTACAAATATACTCAGCCACCTTATCGTTGACAAAGGGGACATAAAATATTCACTGGAAGAAAAATAGCCTCTTTAATAAACGGTGGTAGAAAACTTGGTTTTGTACATGCCAAAAGCTAAAAATAGACCCATGCATATCACCAGGCCCAAAACTATAGTCAAAATTATCAAATATTTAAATATTAAAATAGAGACACTAAATCTTGTGGAGGAGAAAGTAAGTAAAAAAGTAAAGACGTAGGAATAGGTAGAGAGTTTATGAACAAAAATTAAAGTGCATGGGAAACAGTTCAAAGAATCAAATAATTGGGATCTCATATTTTTGAAAAGTTTCTGCATGTCAAAAAATATCACTAACAGAGTAAAAAAAAACCCTCAAATATTGGAGAAAAATTATTGCCAACTGTTCCCCAGACTATTTTTTTCTATCTAGAAAATATAGAGTTAAAAAAAAAAAATTCAGGCCACCAAAATTCAATGACCCAATCCAAAAATGGGCATCTGACATAAATATACACTTCACAAATGAAAATATACAAATGGCAAATAA